TGTGCAGTGATTGACAATGTGAAAGCGGTTGATGGCATCTTGAACTTGTTCTTTTGTTATGAAACGTTGTCCAAGAAATAGAGTTCCTGCCGGAGAAACAAAAGACTCTTTGTCCAACACATGACCATACTCTGGGTCTTGTTGTTGAATGTGACTTTCAAAGTTAAGAACATGTTTTGGTGGGTTGTATGGTTCCATGAAGTTTGGTGCATGTGTAGGGATATGTGGTTGTTGGTCCTCTGAATCATTTTGGTGTTGACTGAGAATTTCATCTTCATCTTCGTCTTCACTAAAAGGATCAATGACTTCAATTGGGAGACCAACAATTTCGTTCTCTTGTGTGGGTAGTTCTTCATTGATGTTGGTGGAAGACCCAGTTAGAAATTGGGTAAAAGGGATGTAGTCATTATGTGTGGGTATTTATGAGTCAATGTTTGGGAAAGTTTGGTAGGGTGAGGGTGAGATTTCAGGTGGGTGTGTGTTGGGGTATGAAGAAGAAGTTTTAAATGTAACAAAAATTTCAATACCACATAGACTTGAGTTTGAATCATGAACATCGAACATGACATCCACGTCGTCATCATCTTTCAACTCAACAGCAATGAAGTTATTGATCTCAACTCCGAGTCTAGTTGGGCAGCAAAAATGGATGGTTGCTACATTTTCGTGGGGTTCTTTCTCTAATTTCCTGTGGATCAACTTCTTCAACCTTTGTAGATAAATTTCTCTCTTTAAAGGAACAAGTTTTGCAGTCCCAGTATTGAAGGTAACTCCCTCCATGGGACATGGGTTCATAGAACCATCATAGTGGACAATAGTAGACACTACACCCATTTTAGGAGTGTGGAACAAAAAGAAGACTAAAGGTAAGAAGAAGAAAGAATGCAAAGAGCTTCAGAGATTTAGGAGTGTGCAATGTGAGAACTTCAAATAATGAAAATGGTCTATTTATAATGAGGTCCAATGGTTTGAATTCAAGACTCCCTTATATGGCTTCTGACGCACACAAAACCCAAGCAAAGTGGGTGGGTCAACATCTCTTTAAATGTGCTTGGATTCTTCTGCTTTTGTCTAACCCAATGTAGGGAATCCAAGATTGGAATCCTGACTTAGGTGGGTGACTCAGCATTTGATTATTTTAAAATTATAATCGATTAGTTTAGCTTATAATCGATTATAAATAGTTGCAGGTTTCCTCGCTCAAGCGATGAATTTCTCGCTTGAGCAACAGTTGAGCACAGGTTAAAACTCCAATGCAGTTAGCCACATAATACAACTTGGGTCACCACATATTTCAATCAGTTTTCGCTCGAACGAAATTACCCATCGCTTGAGCAAGAATTCCACCACAGGCTAAAACTCCAACGCAGTTAGCCATATAATGCAACTTGGGTCACCACATATTTCAATCAGTTCTCGCTCGAGCGAAATTACACATTGCTTGAGCGAAAAAACACCCGAGATTACTCCATTAGTTTCAGATCTCCTCGCTCAAGCGATGAATTTCTCGCTTAAGCAAGAGAAAAATAATCGATCATAATTTTAAATATTTGATTATTTTAAAATTATAATCGATTAATTTAAATTATAATCAATTATAAATTTTCTCGCTCAAGCAATGGATTTATCGCTTGAGCGAGAATTGACCACAGGCGAAAGGTCTAACGCAGTTAGCCAATCACTTCTCGCTCGAGCGAAATTAACCATCGCTTGAGTGAGAATTGACCACAGGCTAAAGGTCCAACGCAATTAACCACATAATGCAACTTGGGTCACCACATATTTAAATCAGTTCTCGCTCGAGCGAAATTTCATGTCGCTTGAGCGAAAAAACACCCAAGATTACCCATTAGTTTCATATCTCCTCGCTCAAGCGAAGGGTTTCTCGTTTGAGCGAGAGAAGTTCTTGCTTGAGCAAGAATTTTATCGCTTGAGTGAAATTAAACCCCACAAAACCCTTAAGTTTCAGGTCTCATCGCTCAAGCGATGCATTTCTCACTTGAGCGAGAGTATCATGAACAGTAAATAGTACTAATTGGGTAAATAATGTTCCATATGTGCTATTTTAGAAAATATTTTTTAAAATAGTATTATTTATGAAAAAAAGTCTCTCTCTCTCTCTCTCTCTCTATATATATATATATATATATATATATATATATTCTTAATTTAATAATTTTTATAATATAATTAATGAGATTTTCCTGAAAAAAAAAATGAACAAAGATTAAACAAAAATATTTATGATAAATTAGGAAAATCTTTTTATAACATGTGTTGGTGATATGGTGTTTTTTTATTTTTAGAAAATCTATTTATTTTATCAATTTAAGTATAATTTTACATTAATTTCAGTTTAAAATAGTGTTGGTTGTCCGAATTAAAAAACCTCCACTGATTTTTTATTCCAAGTCTCCAATGAAATATAGTTACAGATAATTCGATTGTATGAAATGAAGGATATTGATTTTGAATTTTGATTGCATGTAATAGACAATGGCACATGAGTTGTACATTAATTGAGGAAGACACATGTTGTCCTTTTGCAGCAATCCACACTCAAACCTCACCTATTAGGTGTGGTAGGCTCCAATTTATTAATCAACTTCACATTTTTGTTCCACCAAAAATATTTCAATTATTGACTTATATTATCATAACATTCAATTTTGATTACGTGTTTCTTTTTAATTAGCTCAATTAAAACATAAAAGAAATAAATAGTTACAAAAATTGGGAGTTAGATTAGATTTCATATTTCTAAAATGTTGGAACTAAAATAGAAGAAAAAATCAATAAAGAAACCAAACTCACAAATCAAGAATTAAAATTTTTATTTATCCAAAATATAGTTATTATACTTACGGTTAAAAAATCAAATTAGTATAATATTTGAGTAAATTGATTTAATAATCTATTGACCTAGAAATTTAGTTTGCTGGGACTAAACTAAACTACAACATGGATCTAAACTAAATTATTTTAGGTTCATTAAACTATTTTAAATTGTTTTGAAGTAAATTATTCTATAAATTGAGATAAAGTACACTAAATTTCATGAAATCAAACTACATACACCACGTTCACCATGTTAAGCATCATTTGATAGAAAAGAAACATATGTCTTTCTTTTCGATAACTTTGAAAAGAAAGAAAATCATTATTATAATTTGAGTTTAAAATTGATGAAATATTCATTAAGATTGAATGTTTGATTTGAGATGCAACTATTATTCTTGGTTGCACTAATAATCTCAAGCAGCATGCCAAAGCTGTATACATCTGTTTTGTCTTGACGAGACAACAGCATCACTTGAAAAGAAAAGTTTGGTTATCATCAAAGGCAATTAGAAAAATACCTTTTTTCCAATCTACTTCATTCTTTCTACTTACATTTGTTTAGAAGTAAGAATGCACATTAGTAATTACAACATGAACGCATCATATCTTTAGCAAATCCATATGACATGAGAAAAAATGGATAGGATTGGAACTAAGTCCTAATAAAAACATGCACTCAAGTAAAATGACATTTTGTATTTGATTGTAATTACTATTAGATAATTAAGTACATAACACCATTTATAATTAATTTGTATTACAATTATTGATTACATAATTAGTACAATAGCATCAAATAATGTTATTCAAAATAAAATGCATGATGAATATAATTGAAAAGGTCACAATTAAAATAAAGTAACTTTACAAACGTACTAATCATACTAAATTATATACTTTCAACCAAAATATTCGGGCCTATTTCTAGCCGAAACTGAAAATTTGTTTTGGATGGGCCGTGAATGGGAGAGAAGATAGGGTAAAAGAAATATATCTTCTCCCTTTGTGTAAGATGGGCCGAGAATTTAGAGAAGGGGTGATAATATTTGCTTTACTTGGTGGCTGAAATGAATGGGCTTCGGCCCATTTAGTGTCTTATATCAATTGCCTACAAAAACAATTTGCGTAATTGGTTGTCATATTATATAATTTTCTATTTACAGCTAACAATTTGATCCAAAACATGTCATTTTAAGTATTATTTTAACATATAATTTGATAAAAATATTTGAGTCACATACAAAACGTATTTTGTATTCAAATTCTCAAACAATATAATTAAAATTAAATTAAAAAAAAAAACAACTGGATCCATGTTATAGAAGAAAATTAATTAATTTTATAATTTATCACAAGCCATCACTTATATTAAATTTAGTAATTGTTATTTACATTGATAAATAATTTACATCAAAATATATAACGTTACATAAAACACTACATAAAAAAATTGATTTGACATTTAATTAAAATACTTTCCAGTTTTTTTTTAAGAAACTATAAATAATATAATCATATCTAATTTGGACAGTGGAGAAAAAGTGTAAAAATAATCAACACCAAAAGCTTGTTCATACTCTTTAACCTATGAATATGTGAAACAAACACAACCAATCACCTTAAGAAAGGTTAGTGCAAGCTTCTATAAAATTTTATATTAAGAAAAGTTTATCCATAAAAATATTTTTGTTTAAGAAATATATAAATATATATAATTTATATTAATAATTCAATGTATAATGGAATATCTCATTCTGAATTTTGTTTTAATTTATAACAATACACAATTGGATATTCAGTTTGTAGAAGATTAATATCCTTCACCTTGAATTTTGTTTTATTATTTTGGAAAACATTATTAATGATACATAGAAATATAATTTGTATACATCAAAGATTTTAAAAACAATTTTCCAAGGTTCTCCAGCTGCATACTGATGCTCAAATTGGTATTCAATAATATAAAATGTTTAGTTGCCTAGCCAAGTTATGCATGGACTAAAGCACACTTACAATTGGAGACCATGGAAGACTCAATTGATGAGAAAGTAACTATAACACTACAATATCATTGCAAACAAATACAAATGTCGTATCAGCAAACAAACATGAAGGGGGAAGATGCACTTGATTGACACTTCAACTGGTTCCTAACAGAACTAGAAAGTTGGGAACTCAACTTGGGACCCACATTTGCCTTTAGGGAACACAGGGCATTCAATGAAGCCAGACCCTGAAGTGTCCACACACAAATAAACTTGGTAAAGCTGGCTGTTACGTGATGCGTCCACATTGCATTCGATGTATGGAGTATACCCAATTGCATCTTTTATAGCCCCCTTGATGCTGCTGAGACTGTATAACTCTCCATCTGGTTGTATCCCTGTCAATCCAAATACGTGTTTATCAGTGTGTGAGTGATCATATACACTCATAAAAATATTGCTATGACATTACAAAATTATGCATGCAATTATCGAACCAGGTTTGAATGAGCAATAATTATGTACCAGCATTTGTAAGAGCTCGGAGGAGGTTGGCTCTCTGCTTGAGATCGAGAGCTGCTTCAAAATAGTCATGTTGCTTCAGGAGTGACTCCGAGCAAGTGCCATGTTTCTCCCATTCGTGGGTCCAGAATTGGACCCCGTTACCACTTGGGCATGCTAGAGTGGGCCAATTTCTCTGCAAACTGCTTCTCAAATCCGATATCTGTCACAATATGAAATTTATTAGATGGTGTAGCAAGACCTTTAATTCGTTCTCATGTGGGCAATAATCGTAAGAAAAGATGGAGCAGGGAACAGTGTTATAAAAGAATATTCTTCTTTGATTCATATTCTTTTGTTTCAGTTTTCTCGAAAGCTATAAAAAAATAAAGCTTAAAAGGTTTGTATGACGCGTGAAAAGAGGACAAGTCGAGGCACTACTGCTTCAAAACAGAAAGTGTAACTGTAGAAAACGATTGTCTTGTGAGGAAACAAAAAGGCAACGAATTTTTAAACACTATTTTAATTGGATGAAGCTTTACTCATTTAGCTTATTGATTAAGTAATAATGGGTTACGGGACAGAGAAGTAATCTTGATTCAAAAGAAGCATTGATGAACGCTATATGTAGCTAGTGAAACTATATTTGTAAATCAATAAACAATAATGATCTTGGGAACAAGTGATTGATGAATGTGACGGCAGTGAAAAGCCATAAAGATAAAATGAAAGGTGCATGTATTTGGTATAGAACGAAGTACCTGAGACTGCTGGAAAGGATTGTTTGAATCACAGTTAGATGGGTAAGAGCCATCCTTGTAATTAGGCCAGAGGCCATGAATGCCAAAATCTGCAGCGGGTTTCCCAGTTGTTGGGTAGCAACAACTATTCTGCGTGTCACAGTAAGATCCTGGCCACTGATGAAAGAAAAAATTGCTATAAGAAAAAGAACAAAAACCATGCTACCAGAATGCATGACCTTCAAGCATCCTTTAAAGACACAATCTAACCTGCTGAACAAAGTAGAAGAAATCAAAATCCTGTGAAACACAGAGAACAGTCAAATGCAGAAGCAGCAAAAGCTTCATTGAGACGGACCCTTTCGACCCCATTTTTGCCTCTATTTTAGAAGAAAAAAGCCGAGAAAGTTTGATGGGATTTTTTGGAGTATGATTCTTTGGAGGTGGCATGGATTGATGAATTTATAGAGATGAAAAGGAAGGTGAGAGGTGTGGAAGGTTTGAGTATGAAAGTTACATTGCTCAGCTATCTTAATCAGCCTATAATTCATATCATGGTTTACGTGCGTAACTAATTGCAAGATAATAACGACACGTCGGTTCACCAATTTTGTTTTTAATAGTGCTCGTACAATGTACCAGGGAAACAAGTTACAAGTGTTTATGTTTTTGTATAATGGGATTGCGTGTCTCTATTTTTTTTATATTTTTAAATTTTAATTTTTTTTTTCATGCATACACATTTGTGGCCAATAAATAGAACCAAAATCGAGGATTATTGTTTTGTTTTGTTTTGGGTAGAGTCAGGTAATAATTAGGTTGCTACAGTACAAAAAGCCCAAGACGGAGGCAGCTGGGTTGAAATGCGTTCACACGCGCGACTAAAAAAAACAGCGTTGCGTTTACACGGAAAATTAAATAGATCTTCCTCGAAAGTCTATCTTACACAGTTGGTGGTGGGTGAGAGGAAGAAAATTGCTCTTCTGCACCAAAATTGAAACGGCCACTTCCTTTTACACTGCAATTACTAATTAGTGTTATGAATCACAATTCCAATGGCCATCTAAACTGTTTTGGGATGAGATAGCTTTTATAATTTCAATTGTTTGTTTGACACTTAAAATTGCTTGACAATTGCTTTTGGGAACCAGATTGTGTCTATGATTTTCCACCCAACACTTTAAATTTGATGAATTAATCTTCTGAAGGTGTCAGTAATATCTTAAAAATAACATAAAATCCTTTGGTCACCGATTAGATCCTTCTTTGAAAATTCTTGGGAGATTACTATGCAACACACCCTAAGGCTGTTGTTGGGTATACAAAGGCAAGGTACAAGTTGTCTTTCTATTTTCATAATATTAAAACAAATACACCTTTCTTTTTTTTTTTAATTTATCTTTTAACTTTTACCTTTTTTCTCTGAACTATTTTAGACATTACCACTTTGAATCTTTATTTTGTGTATTCGTTTAAAAAATACTTGATAAACTTTTACTAATCATCACGGCAAGAATCTATTAAATATGGATTATATAAAAATAAAAAATATCTAATATTCTTATATTGGTTAACTTAAAAATTCTTTTACTTGAATTGAATCCTAAATTAGAATATAAATTGGTTTCTGAAATTAATTTCCAATATTTTGGCTATTTATTAGAAGTTAGATTCTGACTTATAAAATTAAAATATAATTTTTAATTAGTAGTTAAAATTTTGATAATTTTTAATTAGTAGTTAAAATTTTGATAATTAATATTATAAACCAAATTAAATTTTGATTCAAAATCAATTTAACTAAAATAGTTTATAGTTTATTAAATATTTTTATTTTTAAATTAGTCGATATTTAATAAATAACATATAAGACATGACTTTATTATGTCAATTCATCAAATAACGCCGTATGAGTGTTACCTATTAAATAGTTATAAATTATACTTCTTGTCTTAAAAAATATCACATTAATAAAAATGTGATTGGCTATCAACTTTCAAATTTTAATTATTTATTATAATTAGGTGTGTTAGAGTATGTTTAGATGAAAAATTTTTATAAGATAATTTATTTTTTAGAAGATTTAAAATGTTTTATAACAAAATCAGTTAAATAAGTAGAGAATTTTAAAATAAAATAAAAATTTAAAAAAATTATTAGTATAATATGATTACTTTAAATTAAATAATTTCAAATTTAAAAAAATTGAGAATTTTTAAACTCTTTCCTCCTTTTACATCCAAGAATCTTATTTTTCATATTATCTTCTCATATTTAAGAATCCTATTTTTCATATTTTCCTTACAAAATTAATCTTAGTCAAGATATTGTCGATTTAATTTTGGTGAATATAGCATTGACTCTATTGAACTTTAGATAATTGATTCGGTCAAAGATATTGTTTCTTTCAACATGAAGGTTAGAGCTAAACTGAAATTTGAAAAAAAAAGTCAACATAAATTGAGGTTATTGCTAAACTGAATTGAGTCATTTTTTTCTTGGCTAAGGAGTTTAATTTATTTTTTCTTTTTGTTAATGTCAATATGGAATTTTAGTAGACATTAGTGAGACTATTTTTTTTTTTTTTTCAATTGAACGTAAGTTAAAGTTTTTTAATCAATAATAATACATTTTATTTATTTTGTTCCGATTGTTAAAATTATTGTTCGGGGTGTATTCAATTGTTATGTTTAATCATTGTTCATATGACTTTTTCTTTTTCATAAATAATATAAAAATAATATTTAATTAATGTATGAACTATTTATTTATTGAAATAGACATGTTTCTTGTCTACGATTAAATTCGATTCCTGATAAACTAAATTTTGAGTGGAAACGCGTACCGAAAAAGTAGGAAAATACATTTTTTTTTCACTTGGGGTATACATACATATATATATATATATATATATATATATATATATATATATATATATATATATATATATATATATATATATATATATATATATATATATATATATATATATTTAAAATAGGATTATGCATTTAATAAATACCTATATATATAATAGGATTATATTTAATAAACATATCTATTATATAACTTTATCTAATATGTATTTTATATTTAATATATATATATAATTTTATTTATTTATTTAATATTTATAATAAATACATATAAATTCCTTCATATAAACAATATTGTATTTAATTTTGATATAATAATTAGTATAAAATTTTGGTTAAAATTTTAGATATTTAAATTGAGGCAACAAAATATTAAAAAATTATAATTTAAATGTGCATACTTAAAACAATACATGATAAAGGATAAGTGGAGAATTATCTCCTTAAGTCACGAATCAAACTTGAATGTTGTTATTTCATATTTGTGAATATATGTATTATCTTATAAGTCGTGGATTATCTCTTTAAGTGTCGGTCTTCATATATCCTTAATCTACACAAACAATTTAATATTCCCTTATGCTTATTTACATTGGATGATTGGATTTACAACTTGTATTTTTTTTTTAACACTTAATGATTTTGGTCACATTAATGTCAATTTTTATTTCTATTGGATCGTAACGATCTCTTGATTTTGGACTCAAAGTGAATGTCATTAATTTATTGAAGTTACTTGTTTATGGTCTTTGTAGTCTAGTATTTCAATAATATTTCAACTAATTTAACGAAATATCATATATATTGGATTACCATTATTTTAGGGTTATACCATGTATAAGTAAGATAAAAACCATTTGGACTTTTGATGATGGTTGTACGTTGGATAATACAACCAAAGTAAATTATAGCTTTAGAGGAAATTATATTGTTGTGGTTTGTGGAAAAGTTAAATGTAAGTGGGTTTAGAAGTATCATTATTTCTTCAACACATCTTATATATTTACCATACAATTCAATGATGATATTGACAAAAAATGGTGACTTTCAATTAATCATATTGGACATATCAATATCAGATAGTTTTTTAGTAACATCATACATAATTAAACCATCACAAGCTTAATTTGGTTTACAGCAATACAACTTAATGATTCCTATCTATAGTAGTGCATATTCTTTGGTTCAAATTAGTGAATGTACAATTGTACTGAATTTAAAGCAGATTAGGAGATGCATATTAAAAGTATATTTGTTCCTCATTTATTGTGATTTGACTGTTTGTAGCATGATAGGAGTTATGAAAGTTTTCAATGTCTGGGATACCAAGTTCCACCATTTTAAAAGTAAGAAGAAGAAGAAACAAAAGTTGGATAAATAAACAGAGACAACATGAGTGGACGAACACTTGATAAGAGCAAACCTCAATTTATAGATCTTATGTGATGTATTGGATATACTATAATCCCCCTGTAATAAAGGAGTGTAGTTTACATTCTGAGCTAAACTTTGGATGGTGAGAATTGAACATCAATCGTTGATGAGTGAAGATCTAATACTAATACAGAAACAACAAAAGACGATACATTTTGATAACGGTTATATGAATCATCGTTAAAAAGATACAATGGTATTTTTGAAATTATTTTTAACTTTAACAATGATTCATTTATAATCGTTATCGAATGTAACATAAGACGAAGGTTATAATTATAATCGTCATCTTATGTGACATACGACAAATGTTCTTTTATAACAATTATCATATATAACATACAACGACACTTATAAAAATAATCATCATTGTATGTTTAATTTTTTAATAACAGTTCCTTTATAACTGTCATGGTATAATAACAATTATAAAACAACTGTCGTCGTATATCTTGTTATGTTTCGCAACCTAACCTCTCATTTCTTCTTCTTTCTTTTCTTCTCCTCTTCTCCCTCATTTCTTCTCTTAAATGGGTTATTCACGGTATCTAACTAAAGTTACATAGCAAGTTGACATCTTCTTCCTCTCTCCTCATTCAACCGTCTCTTTCTCTTTCTTTCACAAAACATCATTCTCTATCACAAATCTCTTCAATGGGTAGGACAAGTACAAGGTGAAGACAAAAAGAAAAAGGACAAATAAGAAAGTAGTAGAACCATATGGATCTATTATGGAAAAATACGATATACTACAAAGATGTACTAAATGTCAGAGAATAGTGAAAACTTTTGGATCTATTGCAACGAAACAATATCTATTACGACAAAGAAAGATATGTGACAAAGGACATACAATAATAATTATATTTATAATTATTGTCATATTCGTAACTTACAACTATAAGTTAAAATCATTGTTAATTTTGGTAACTTTAAATGACACTTGTAAAACCATTGTTATATGTTTTTATTAATCATTGTTGAATAATTTGTTTGCAATCGTGGTCCTTTCTTTTTTCTAACAACTTAATCAGCATGTATTCGTGATTTTTGAGAGGCACATTATATTAAACAATATACTTTGTACTTTAAGGGGATGGTGGGTAGAAGAATTGAACTTCATCATTAGTGGAGATTTAATTATGTTTGTTACTTTTTTTTCTGTAATATCTTGGTTAGTGTTGATTTTAAGGTTTAGATTTAGGATTAGGGTTTATAAATAAATTTTTTTATATATATTTAAGAAAATAAATAATTAAAATTGATAGAATATTTTTTTACTAATAATAATACTATATCTTAAAATCATCCTTAAATTTCTACAGGCTACTCTTTATCAAATTAATTTTTGAAAGTGTTTTAAAAAAATACAAAACCAAATCAAATTAAGAAAAAAAAATCCTTGTTCATACATTACTCCTTATTTGGCCGTATAAATTATTTATGTATCGTTGGAAGTTAGTGATACTGCAATAAGGGTTAAAAATAGATAACATAAATGACATTCTGGGATAATCTTCCACTTATAAGTACTAGAAGATGGGAAACTCAATGGTTTTTGTACAACTTCGAATTCCATTTGGCAGTAGTGGACATTCAATGAACATGGAGGCTGACTTTTCAACGCACATATATATCTCAGAAAGCTGGCGATTACCACTCGGATCAGTGTTGCATGTTACGCCAGGTACAAACCCAGTTGCTTGTTTTATAGCTTCTGTTATGTTAACAACGCTGTAAATGTTTCCATCTGGTTTGATTCCTGTACCATGAGTCACATATGGTGTATTTCTTTTATGTTATTAAATTCAAAATATCTTACTATAAATCATAATGAATGATTAAATAATCCTCATAAGAGTTTTCATTCGATCTGTGTATTTCAATTTTTTTTTTCTCAAATGAAGAGCATGAATATATGCCATATGAATATCTGGTATAGACGTAGGAGTGAACATTACCATTATTTTGAAGAATTTGAAGGAGGTCTACGCGGTCCTTGAGGTCCAAGGATGCTTTGAAATATGCATGCTGATCAAGGATTGACTGAGAACATGTGCCATGTTTATCCCATTCATGTTTCCAGAACTTTGCTGTCGCTGCTTCTGCTGTTGTTGTCTATTTTTTTGCCGCCTGCACAAGATATTGTTGAGGGCCAATTTTTTTCTACTCTTGGAATCAGATCAGTTATCTGGTTCATCACGATTCACGAACAAGTTTTACTTCATTGTACACTGTTACTCATGACTAGTTCTCCAACCAACTATATATATATATATATATATATATATATATATATATATATATACATTTGACAAAATGCTGTTATGCATGTTTTTTTAGACTAAAATGTTTGATCATGGTAGGAAAAATACACAAATAAAATGAAATTTAATGATGGTAGGAAAAAAATTGATCATGACACCTAATGCTAATTAACTAATACGTACATAAATAAAAGTAAAATAAGAAGTGTTATTTTGTACCTTAGATTGGTTAAATGGGTTTTGGGCATTATTGCAATCGAATGGAAATGTTCCATTGTTGAAATTTGGCCAAAGTCCATGAATGCTGAAATTGGATGCTGGTTTTCCGGTTGGAGGGAAGCAGCAAACTTTTTTTGTGTCGCAGAGTGAACCTGGCCACTGCAACGAGGGTAAAAAAGAAGGGTGTCTACATCATGGTATTGCATAACATAAACAAAATTCCCATGCACAAGGATAATTTATCATACTCTACACAGGAGCAGAAAAGAAAGAATAAGAAGGAAAATGGCTTATGCTAACCTGTTGTACGAAGTAAAAAAAAATCAAAATCCTGTGAAACACAAATGTTCACAAGAGCTAGTAGCATCAAAAGCTTGATGGAAATGGAGCTGGTACTTGTCATCTCTCTCGATCCCTTATTTCCTTCCACAGTTTTCTTCAAGTTTGAGGTGTTAGTAAGTTGATGGTTGTTGTTTTTATATGCTATGTTGACAGTGAAAGCCAGATTAATTATGGCCCCAATCCTAGTTTATATTGCTATATATTTGCGTGGAGGATGTGGTAGTGGATCGAGATTATTAAAGATTAACTTAACATCTTCATCTTCATAATGAAGATTCGGCGTATATTTGCAAGGAACATACCATATTTGACAGTGGTTTATCACGAGAATATAATGTTTTTAGGTTGGAACGTGTCTGAAAGTTTTAATTTTTTTCAACAGTTGGAAAAGTTATATATATAATGATTCGAATCATTACAAAACACGTTATCCTAAGCACCACACTCATCTATCGTATGCTCACCACGTGAAAAGATATTGCAGTTCTAAAATATGAAGATAACAATTGATATGGCTGCAACAAACCAAACCTATATTCTAGAAGATAAAACCTATTTTGGAAAAAAATTCAAACTGATTACAACAAGCAATAAGCAATGTGTGATGTGATTCCACTGAAATTGTAGCTTATCAGTAGTACAAAGATTTGCCAGCGTATTTGTTTGTCTCTAAATATATGTGTAACATTAGTTAATTTGTAAGAGTATCTGTTTCCTTCTCTGAACATACGTGTAACATACACATTCATTTGTTTCCAAAGGTTTTAAATATTTAGCATGTGTTTATATTTGGATTTAATTCTAATCAAAATTTTAAAAAATCTAACACTTATTTTGAGAACATAAAAGACTAGAAGGGAAAATAAGTTGGGCGTGAAGCTGAATTCAAAGTTATTCATAGAATCCTTAATGAAGGTGTGGATTATTTATGTAGTTATGGCATATTTTTGTGTTATGCAAGCCAGCCTTGGTTACCCTTACATTATATACAGTACTTGGTGTAATTAGTTTAAGATGGTTGATTCAATGCAGAATTCTCAGTTAGTTTGACTATAATGCACATTCCCCACTTTATCAGGTGGCTCAATTATTTTTGTGTTTTGCTGACCAGCCTTCAAAAGAGTTTAATATAAAAAGATTTTACTGAAAATCTCGTAAGAATATAGTTAACGAATACTTATCATAAACATTTAGCTAGTCGTATTTCCGGTAATGAAATGCAATTATTTTAAATATCGGTTTAACTAGTTTAATCGGGAATTATACTGAAAATTAGTTGATTATTTTTAAATAATTAAATTTTAATTAAATCATGACAAAATTAATAAAATTGATTGACCCATTTTGATAAAAAAAATTAAGATAAATTATTTTTAATATATTTTTTTATAAAAGATATAATATATTTTTTTAATTTCATATTAATTATGTCTTTAAATAATAATTATTTTATTATATTTTATTTTATTTTAATAATTATTTATTTTTATTTTTTTCAATATATTTTATATTTATAATTTTTATTTAATATTATAATAAGAATTTTTTTATTAATATTGTTATTAATAAATTTAATATATATTTATTATAAAAATATTATTTTATTAAATTGAGTTAAATTGATTAAATTTCATCTATATCAATTCAGGATATTTTGAAAATCTTAAGTGCAATTCAAAAAATTTATTTTTTCTAGTAAAAGAGACGAGAATTTAAATACACGATAACAACACGAGAATCTATTTTGAAAATTCTATCATTATTTTGTCCATGCATATCTTCATACACTCTTGTCTCTTATTTTTAGAGGAAACGACATATCAAATGGTTAGTTGTAATAAAAATGCTGAGAGGGTGATAAAATTTTGACAAGAGACATTGATTTCAGGTTATTTATTTTTAGTATTAAACATAACTTCCTGAGGAATAATATGTTTGAGAATAAATATTAAAATATTAACAACTCTTTCTTCCTCGTCATCTTCTTACAACTCCATTTTAATATTACAATAATAATATATAATAATAAAATTTATTATTATTATTATTATTATTATTATTATATGATAAAATAGTTGTGTAGTAATTATTTTTTCAAACAAGAATTGTCAATGTATATTTTTTCTTTGAGAATAATATAGTTAAGTTTTTAAAGAAAATGTGTTTGATAAACAACTAAAGTTCATGGTAATCTTTTCATATTTACAGCAGTAATTAAAATGTGTTGATAATATATTTTCTTATTATCAGTAATGGATTTTGACAAAATTCTATGAGATTAGAGAAAAAAAATTTAAAAGATAAAATATATATATTATTTTGTTTTTAACTATAATAAAATTTAAATATTTAAAAAATAAATTTAAAATTACAAATACAGGACTAGTAAAAAAAGTTATAATTAAACATAAAGAGTTATCATCTCAAAGTTTTATAACCTGAATATTTATAAAAAAAATTCTAGATCACTAATTAATGGTTATTAATTATATTTACATCTATATTATAATTTTAACTTTTTATTTAATATTTTTAATAAATATTAAACAAATTAATAAAAAAATATTTTATATTCTTTATTTTTATATTTTTATTATTTATTAATAAAATATTATTTAACTTCTAAAATCATAGGTAAAAGTACGTTACAATGGTTGTACTAATTCAAGCTTTTGTAGTTTACATTCATCTTATTATTAATTCTATAAATAGAGTAATTTCCTCTTGTATATGATATAGGTATGCATAATAATAATAATAAACTGAGGTATATTCAAATACATACTTGCGTGTGAATTTTTTTCTCTCTTCCCTACCAATAAGTGGTATCTAGAGCATTGGGAGTGGAAATTTTCATATCCAACCTGCTAATTCTTGATGGAAAGATTTATGACCATTGGATTATAAGGATGGAGGTTATTCTTGACTATCAAGAACTCCTGGAGATTGTAAGAGATGGTGCTCGTGAGAAAGACGAAGCCACAAATAAGAAGAAAGATTGCAATGTTTGTTGTCTTTTTCATCCACGCATGGATATGAAGAATTTTGAGAAAAATTCTAAAGCGAAAACAACAAAGGAGGCCTAGGATATATTGTAGAAGGCACATGGAGGTGTTGAGAAAACCAAGAAAGTGAAACTACAGTCCCTCAGAAGGCAATATGAGTTGTTGTTTGTGCTTGATCTAGAAACTATTACAGAGTATCTCAATCGGTTGTAGTTGCTAGTCAATTCCATGAGAGCTTGTGGAGAACTTGTAACAGATCAGAACATGGTGGAGAAAATATTATACACGCTATCTTCAAAATTTGATTACATTGTGGTGACAATACATGATAGTGGAAGAGCTGCAAGGTTCATTGAAGGCTCATGAGTTGAAACTGTTATTGTGAAATACTGAGAAGGTTGGTGAGGAACAAGTTTTGCAAGCACAGGTGATGAAGAAAGGTGGCTCCTCTCGTGGAAAATGGAAGAAGAATAAAGCAAGTGGTCATTTCAATAAGGTTTGCAAAGGCAAGTTGAGGACAGAAACTGAGTTTGAAGCTCATGTGGCTTAAGATGAATCAGATGAAGAGCCTATGGTGCTAATGGTCACAACAAGTGAAGATGGATTTTTAGTTGAGAATTGGTTTCTTGATACTGAATGTTCCAACTATATGATTAGACATAGAAGTTGGATATCAAATCTTGACACAAGCAAAGCCAGCAAGGTTACACTTGTATATGACAATACGATTGAGGTTGTAGGAGTTGGCGATAGTGTAATTAAGAAAAATGGTGAAGAGATTGTAGTAATTGAGAGTGTGTTGTATGTTCCTGGGATGAAATGCAATTTGTTGAGTGCGACCAGGTAATAGAAAAGGGTTTTTTAGTTACTATGAAAGAAGATATGCTAAAAGTGTATGATTCAAAGAAAAGGCTAGTGTTAATGTCACTCTTGTCAAAGAGTAAGTCCTTTAAAACGAGATTGCATCCAGTGGAAAATTAGTGTTTCACTACAACAACTATATATAAGATAAGTTAGCTATGACCCAAAAGATTTGGCCACCTGAACTTTCATAGTTTACGGATGCTAGTTGCTAATGAAATGGTAATTAGGTTGCCTTAGATTTTTGTTCCAGACAAGATGTGTGAAGAGTGCTTGCTTGGTAAACAACCTAGAAATACATTAAAATCACATAAGTACATGAGAGCTAAGGATGTATTGCGGACCATTCGAGGAGCTATCTTTGGGACATAATATATATTTTGTTTCTTTTGCGGATGAGTACAGTTGTATGATATGGTTGTATTTGATAAGAGCTAAATGTGACGTGTTTTCAATCTTTAAAAAAGTTTAAGTTGATGGTTGAAAGGCAAAGTGGGAAGGCACTCAAAGTACTCAAGACAGGTGGAGGTGGAGAATACATATCCAAGGAGTTCAAAGACTACTGCACTGAAAATGGAATTCAGCATGAGATAAAAACATCATATACTCCACAATACAATAGTCTTGTTGAAAAAAGAAACAGGACCATACTTGACATGGCAAGGTGTATGCTAAAGCAGAAAAAATTACCACACTCATTTTGGGAAGAAGCAATGTCAACTGCAGTGTATGTGTTGAACAAGTGTCCCTCCAAGAAGTTGAAAAATAAATTCACAAAAGAAGTCTAGTTTGAAAGAAAACCAATGGTGAATCATTTGAATATTTTTGGTTTAATATGCTACAAACATGTACCAATTATGAAGAGAAGCAAACTGCAAGATATAAGTGAGTTCATGATATTTTTAGGTTATTATTCAACTGGAGATTACTAATTGTACAATCCTACAACAAAGGAGATTTGTATAAGAAGGGATGTTGTGATAAACGAAGTTGAAATATGGGATTGGTCGGGTAAAGAAAATGATTCAAATAAGAATGTTTTAATAACATTTGAAAGTGAAGAGAAATCAGGTGATAAGCATAATATGATTGAATTATATGATAATGTACGGCTGCCTACACAACCACAAACACAAAGAACGACCAGGCAGAGGACTATGTCGAGATCATTGATGGATTTTGAGATGTTTCTTGA